ATGCGTTCTGTATTGATTACACGTTCCCATCCGTTTAATTTTACTTCTTCATTGGTGTCACTTCGTATTCGTGTACATAGTAATTTATTCAATACAATATACCATTAGAAATAGACATTAACTAGTATAGATCATTAATTTAGAATTAGATTATATTGTATACTACATAATTATACAGTTTTGTATATAAAGCCTCCTTTTGGCTTCATTTATATATTAATAATTTAAACATAAATATATTATGTAATATAATTAATATTTTTTTAGGAACATGGGTAAGGTAAATATAATATTGATAAATATTACTTTTTAATTGCTTAAAGTATAAGAGATTTCTATATTATTCAAATATATTTCAAATTTCAAGATTATCTAATACAGTCATACCTCGTTTAACGAATTGGATGCGTTCCTCAAAATTACTATTTTTCAGATTTCCATAGTAAATAAAATATTTCGTGCGGTTAATAATACAGATTGCCATAAATATATTTTAAGTTGCTGTAATTAATAAGACTTGTTTATATAGTGTCGTCTACTTTAGTATAACTCTTTCATTTCGTCCATACAAATTTTGCTGTAATTGTTTACAAACTTTTAGTTGAGATTGTTTGTTTTATAAATACAAGCTCGGCACTAAAGCTGTTGAGGCGTAACGAAAAATATGTACCGCGTTCGAAGATCATGCTGTAGGTCAGTGATTCTCAAAGTGTGGACCCCAGGGGGTCGCACAAAATATTTTGGGAGTCGCAAAAAAATAAATCCATTCTTCGGTGGGTCGCATAAAATGTTTATGTCCAAAAGGAGGCCGCGCACCAAAAATTTGAAAATCATTGCTGTAGGTGATCGAACAGTGCGGAAGCGGTTTAAAAGATTTTCTTCGGGTAATTTCAGCTTGATCGATGAATAATGCTCATGGAGACCAAAGATCATTAACAACGAGGATATTAAATAAGTTGTAGATTCAAATTCTAACGCAACGTGCTCTGAGCTTTCAAAAATGTTCAATGTGAGTGATGCCATTCAAGAGTTAGGGAAATAATACATTTATCAGATAGTGATTATTTTTTATATTTTACCATCAAAAAACGATTTTTTTTCTTTCCTGATACATACAAAGTGAACTCACGTTTCAGATATGAGTCTACATTTATTTTTGAAGCTTTTTTCATTTAACATTTTCTAAATATTCCACCGAAAAACAATCATGTTTTGCATTCAATACATTTCTAACATCCTTTTCATAGATATTTAACCTATTGATTAAATCAGGGGTTCCCAAACTGTGCGCCGCGCTGTACTGTATATGTATTCTGATATATTAACATAAGATAGACCAATGTTTTGACCGTCCCCAAGTGTCGAAAAAATTCTGATATATTAAGGGCGCCGCAAACTATAATAAATTGGGAACCCCTGGATTATATTCTAGTCTCCAAACTCTATTTAAGCATTTCTTTCCAAGAACTATCAATATTTTCCAACAATTGCGGACTTTGGTATAGGTAACGTTAACCGAGGTTAACCGACTGTATAACATATTTATTTATATATATCATGTTTTCAAACCAAAGAGTCAATATTATATGATTATTAAAATTCATTTTCAAAATATATATTATTTAATTCGAATATTTTTATGATAACAATTCTTAAATATTTATTTTTAACTGAATAAGTAAAGTAATCTTTATTGCATACATAATTATAACAAATTTATATAAACAATATCCCATTGCTGTATTTCAGTCCAATTTGTACTGATTTTTTCAAGAAATAAAATAGGCTCTAAATTATAAATCGTATTTCAGTTAATTTCATAAAGATGTAATAGAAGAAAGATGTTTCTTTCAGTGTGAAAAAATGTCAATATTGACTAATTAAAATAAATTATTGGTATTATTTTTATTATTAATATACATATTACAAAATTATATTAAATTTGAAGGATCTCAACTATCTAAAATCTATTTCGATATTGAATAATTCAAGGTCAATCAAATTGTTAAAGTTCCATTTCTTATAATATTTGATATTATATGCTTTTATAGAGATGGAAAATATTTTCTAAAAGAAAACATGAACCAATTTCAAAGTTGACATTGTGGGTCACCAGTGACGTTAAACAGAACTATGATGGATGTATATGCATTATGTGTTTGTTATTGTTGAGAACTTATTCTTGAATTTCATGTATATATAATGGGGAGGGCTGATTCTTTTGACCTTGCGATAAATTATACTTTCGAAGTTTTATATTTAGAAATCACATTTCAAGCACTTAGTGAAATTCATACAAAAATAAATATATTTTCACGATTAAATTCTATAAGGGTCAACAATTAAATATTAAATATAAAATAAGATACACAGAAAGAATAATTAAAAATGTATATAAAGATGCGGATATTCCACTCGAATACTCTAATACTTTTACTTGATGAGTTCTAACATGTAATTATCATCGACGTAATACAGTGGAACCGTTCCAAAATTTCCGGATTTTTACTCGTATAGTGAAACATATTCATATACATATTCATTTTGTTCGGTAAGCGAAATGCTCCTTATGCGAGGTACTCGTTAAGCTAGGTTCCACTGTATATTATTTTCATAGTTTTATATGGCATCTTTTCAAAGAAAAAAAAACGAACAATCGATTGTGTGTACAAACTAAATGTAATCAAACTAATCATTATATAATTGACTATTTACGACATTACTTGAATTTCAATTAATTTAGTAATGTTATATAACAGCATTTGAGTGATATTGAATTGAATGTGCAAATCTATTTCAGTTCCGCGCGCAGATTTATTCTTCCTGCATTTCTAAATCCATTATGAAAATTGGATTTGCTTCTGCAGAAGTAAATACGTAATTCTAAAAAAGAAATATTGACGCCAAGAAATGAATTTCGTTAGACTAAATAATTTATAACGCTTCCATTCGAACGCTAATTAATCAAATTAAGGGTTCAATAAAAAAAACCGACGCATGAGTTCATTAATGACCTCCGAAATTCATCAAACCAAAATTCTATTATTTCCTCTGAATCATTAATAAAACATCATGAGAGAATTACTATCAGCCCTCAGCCCTTTCTGAAATTAAGTATGCTCGTTATTTTTTAGCAGCCCCAGGCATTACAAATAGTCATAACTATAACAATCAGCCGCGAATGAAAATAAAAAAGAGGAATCGCGTTCGTTTGGCAAAAGTTCAAATTCACTTAAGGGCAAAGCATAACAATTGAAAAATAAAGGCTCTGTACCTGAATTAACAATAACCGTTATATATTTTAATAAATTGCTTTTATTATAATTCTATCTAAATTATAAATATAAAACTAATCATTATTTTTTATCAAGATATATAATATACAGGTAAACGTCATTTTAGGCCGGGGTTCCATTCCTACAAAAGCCGTCGCAAATCAAATTGGCGTAAAATGTACCATTATTTAAAGTGAGGTAACTGTAGGATTTAGTTCTATATAAGTGTAAAATCAGTAATTAATAAGCGTTATTTCACAGTGGTGTAATTGTGAATTGGCGTAAATCGAACTGGCGCAAAACGACGTTTACCTGTATTGTGTTTTCTTGAAACAATAATAAAAAAACAGAGATTTTCCGATTTTATGAAATATTTAGTTGCGATATATCTTCATAAAATTTATAATTCTTAAAGTAAAAATTAATTGCATCTTAAGGCAATGATATTTTTGAAAAAATAATCATGTTATGTAATTTAGCATATTTAATTACTTTGTATTAAAATAAGCTGAGTGTATACTTTTAACTTGTAAATATTTTCAAACCATCTTTTAATTAGTGGTTCTCAACCTTTTTGCAACGCAAAACAACGGTTTTACGTATGATGATAGATAGCTTTCATTACATTAAAAGACACAATATGATAAACGATTATTTGCATGGCAATTTCGATCATTTAAATTTAATATGATTAAATATTACTCATAATAATACACAACAATAAAGTGGTTGTAGAAATTAAACTACACATAATTGTCAAACAACATTCGAATAAACGTGTTCAATTTGTCTCGTGGTAATTAAATTTTATTTCATTTCCATATAAATTACTTACACAATAGTATTATTACAACAATATAATACAACAACACTGTTCTCTATTTAGCAACAATAATATTTAGATTCGTACAAATAGCACATTGTTTACAAATAGCGTTCTCTCAAAATCTTCTGTTTATAACAAGCAAAGTGTTAATTTGCTTCCTTTTTTGTACGTGAATCGTTAACATCGAAACGTTTTGACGGTAAACTTCGTTCGAACTAATTCGACAATTAAAATGCCGTCGTAATCTGAAAATAGTACTAACACTTCTGAATGTAATTGTAAAATTATAGTAGTTTGAAAACACAAGTTCTAATACTAAAAGGCATTAACCCAATTAGAACACAAACTAGTTATGTTCTTGTTACCTTTTTTAAAAATAATATTATTGCCTTCGTTTAAATTGCATTAAAACGGATCTATGCATATCCATGAATGAGTTTTCAGATTCAAGTAATGTGATTAATGCGAAATATGCAATACCTGGAGATGAAAAAAAAACAAGTATAGAGTTGCGGTTTCCCTTTGTGCATATCAAAATTCAATTGAATTTTATATAGATGGGAGGGAGGGAGATACCGGAGTTGCTTAGCTCCAAATAGATTTTCATGTTCCCCAAGCCAAACATTCTGCATGCAAAGTAGAACTTTCAGTATACAGCTTGCTTGCCCTTTTCCACACACTTTCTGTGCCAAAACAGAGAGATCCTTTTCACGCCACGCTAAAATAAAACTTAACAGTAAAAAAAGATAGAAGAGATAGTAATACTAGTGTTTTTAGCGTTCATTACATCAGAGATATTATTGTAAATTTTTGTGTCTATATATGTTTCGAGATGATTTTCCTTTTATGATCGAATTAAATGGGTTCTGTGGGGGCCGTTTGGTTGCGGTGGATTTCAGGTGTCGTGCACCGATAGCTAGTTTGGACTGCATGGAGGAGTTCAGCGCGGGCAGCGGCCTCAGCGCCCTTGCAGAACGGGACAGTACCATCACCAAAGAGAGGCTCCTCCTGAGTGGACTCACCCATTCAGCGCCTGCAGCACCGATGCAGCTCAGCAGACAGACCTCCATCACACCTGGACTCCGATACAAGAATCTCGGCAAAAGTGGCCTTCGTGTCTCAAACATTGGACTGGGTATTTATTATCACTGAACTTCAAATACTCAACTGACACTTCAGACACGCCTGCTGCAATCATTTAATATCTAAATACCATCTACAAGACAAGAAATAATCAATTATCATAATTTAACATGTTTAATATTTAATACCATAAATACAATTCTTCTAATAACCTAGACCTAACGCTTTACACTTATTTTTGAAATTTTATTACTAGTTTTCAATCTGAACTTATAGCAATTATTCGCTTTCTTTTCCAATTTTGTAGTACATTTTCGTTATTTTTTTCTTCTTTCTAATTTTATTCCGGTATGTGATGAATAATAAGAATCAATTAAATAGAGATAATCACTAAAATTAACAACTAGGAAATTTCAGTTTGATGTCGTTTTTGCCAATATTCGTTCATATTCATTGGTGCTGAAAAGTTGATGACCAGAAATATATGTGTATTTCTTTTTGTAACATTATTAGTTTCTAAAAATATTTATTAATGTTTTTCGCTTAATGATTATCATTGTATGTGGTAAATAATCATAATATTACTAAATGATTCTTGTCAATTTCTACATTTGCTATTTAGCTTTGTTATACTTTCTTTTAAAAAGTAAGAAATGTAAAATTAATCACTCTCATAATAATTTCTTATTTTTTTGTGGATTATTTCAATAACTATTCCTTAAAACATATTAATTGATATCTCAATGAAAGAGTAATATTGATTAGAAATACAAAAAGGAAAGAAAAATCCAGTAGTTGTTTATGAATGCTAATTACTTAAAACAATTTTCCATTTAATAACCCGGGAATGTTTGTCGTAAAATAGTTTCACATAGCTTAGTAATGCTTCCAAACCGCAAAAGCCGTTCGCAAACTACATTCCGCTCATCGTGTTGCAAACACACGACATATCTTTAACATGCCGGCAGCAAGTTCTTTGGCAAACATATTTCATTCATGTTTGCTATATAACCAATTACAGCAAATATTCCTACTGGAACTCTCTCTTCCATTTTGAATGCTCTGAGTAATGCATAATCATTATACAAATTTACTCTTTCATTGTATCAAACATGTATTTGATGTATCTTTATTTACATTCTATGCAGTAAGAATAAGATGTAAATATAATACAGGATAACATAATTAGATAAATAATGTTTTAGCCACTTGGTCTACGTTCAGTTCGGGTGTGACGGAAGAGCAGGCTGAACAGATAATCGTGCTGGCTGTGGATAGCGGAATAAACGTGTTCGATTTGTCGGAAGCGTACTCTGGTATTATTTAAAAAGTGAAGTGAATCTTTGGAGATTGTCTAATTGCATAATCAATAGGTCCTCGGGCTGAGATCGAATTGGGAAGAATACTCACGCGGAGGGCGTGGAAGAGAAGTAGCTACATCGTGACCACGAAGATTTACTGGAGCACCAGGTAATGAACCTGCGTTATTAATGAAAATCGCGCATGAGCTACGGTCGAGTGTTTTATGAATAAATTGGTTTAGATCGGATGAACGAGGCCTGAGCCGTAAGCACATTATCGAGAGTGTAAAATCGAGTCTGACACGCCTGCAGCTGTCCTACATAGATGTGGTCATTGTTCACAAATCGGATCCCATGTGTCCGATGGAAGGTAAGCAGCAGAAGAATCCCACATGCCAACTCTGAATCCCTTCGCCCTGCTAATCGATTCGTATCTTATCAGAAATTGTCCGCGCCATGCATTACTGCATATCGCAGGGATGGGCTATGTACTGGGGCACAGCACGATGGTCTCCTGTTGAGGTAATGGAAGCTTACACCAACTGTAGACAATTCAACTGCGTTACGCCCATCGTCGAGCAGACCGAATACCACATGTTCTGCAGGGAGAAGACCGAGCTGTACATGCCGGAATTGTACAATAAGATTGGCGTCGGTGAGATGAAGATTGCAATTCACATATATTCTCGTTCAAGTGTGTACATTCTTCTTTGTTACAGGGTTGATGGCCTGGTCTCCAGTTTCGATCGGGATGCCACAAGGGAAGGAAGACGCAACCGCGCAATTGTTTGCTCGCGCCAGCTTCCGAAACAAATACAGCTCCTTTTCTTGGACAGAAGATGAAACCGTCAATAAAGAGGTAATGTATTACAATGATGTCATATACAAAGATATGTACTAAAGAATAGAGATATTATATTTTTATTAAAAAAAAATAATCACTTATATTTTTATAATCACTCGTATCAGAATATTTCTGAATAATTATCACCTTACATTAAAAATCTATATATTTTTTTGGAGTTATAAATTATATCTTTGAAGTATTTTACTTACGTATAATAAAGCTACATATATAATATCTAGAAGTTATAATCGATGAATTACTGAATGTTACAGAGCTACAGTTGGATGAAGGATAGAATACAGCCTGAAGAATCACGCAGACAAACGGAAAGAATTCGGGAACTGAATGCGCTGGCCGAACGTTTAGGCTGTACTTTGTCTCAATTGATAATAGCTTGGTGCTTGAAGAACGAATCTGTCCAATGCCTACTTTTAGGTGCCACCACTGTAGATCAACTGTATGAAAGTATTCAATCACTACAGGTAGATGCAAATAAAAATATAACTTCGTATCAGATATAAGAGGTACCATGTTTTAGCTTGTGCCGAAATTAAATACTAATATGATGACTGAAATCGAGAGGATTTTGGAAAATAAACCGACAAGGCCACCCATGATATCCACCCTGGCGCTTAGATGACAATCAATGTGCCCCCCTGGTTCTATCAGGTAAGCTATATTGTGTGTAATGTACGTAACTTAATAGACAATAATTTTTATAGTGGGAATCAGGGAGGCACGAGCAACGTAGATAGTCCGAAAGACGATGATTTTAGCAACGCTGAAATGGAAAACAAAGATAATCAAAAAATGCCGTTCTGTGAGATTCAGTGACATAAGGTGACCGAGTTTGTAAAAACTCGCAAAATAAAGACCCCGGACGAAAAGCCTGCGACTCGAGAGAAAGTACGTTGGTCCTATAGTCCCGACGAAGGACCAAAATGTACCATAGAAACACTTCTAGCAAAAAAGACGAAGGATAAAAAATCCTCATCCTCGAGCAGTCCGGTGCAAGTATAAAGCAAAACAAACAAAAAAAAACTTTAAATCTAGGCACATTTTCGAAACACGCAGCGCATTCAAATTTAAAGCAAATTGATAATAGGAAATGCTGTATTTAATGGAAGAGGTTACTGCAGCTTTTATAGTGATCTGAATATTTCCAACCGAAATCTTTGCTGGTAGATTTGCAGAAGCAAAAATAACCTAAAATGGATTAATAGAGTTAAGAGAAGAATTTCTGTCAGAGCGAAGCTCTTACTACATTACACATCCACACTACACTTTTGGAAGAAGCGGGCGATGGTGGATGGCCAAATATCGGCGTATTCGATGAAGAAGACAAATTATACCATGTACCATTTATCACGTAATATTTTCTTATAATTACTCCTGTCATTTATATACACGCTAAACTATTAAAGAAAATTAGAATAACATTTTTGAACGATGAAGAACCGACAGCACGCGTCAAGTCCCAGTTCTTCATTACATAGATTTTATCATTAAAAAAAAACGTATATAACCAATTTATCTCAAAAAAAAGAAGACAAAAAAAATGTTTGAAAAGCGAGAAAATAATCTCTTAGATACACTTCGTTTATTGTTTCTTGATATTTTCAGAGCTTCCTTTATGAATTCTACTGTAGTCACGATATATCGGATTGTTAATATGCAACAGAAATTCGCTACCGATCGTTTTCTTTGTTCATCACCCATTTAATTTAAGGTATCTTGCAGGCAAACCTTGCAGAATAAATTTGTCAATGTCAAATTTGATGCGCGGAAATGAGAACGAACCTCTATGGAGCCTTAAAACGATTCGTGTAAATACTATATAAAAAAAACAAATATCGGCATTAATATAACTGAACCAATACCAGGCGAAACCATAATTAAGCAAGTAAAAGTGATTAAATACATTGCATTGGCTTCGTTGTCAATTCAATTCAATTATGTTAACAGACCAGCACGAAGCTAAATAAAATTCAATTAAAATTCAGATTGCTGTATCTTCATTTGTATTTATTTGATGAATGATTTAGGAATGTTGCTTATTAAATAATTGGATTATGGGTTGACAATGTACTCTATGCAATGTTGAAGATATATTTATTTTCCTTCTAAAGTTTACTAGCGTTAGACCATGTGTTTTGTGATATCGTTTACATTTGCTATAATAATAGTTTCATTTCACTTTGTTCTCTTTGATGTCCAAGTACAACAAAAACATATTTCAACTTGTTATTGTGTACAAAAAACAGAAGTTCGGTGCTCATATCGTCTTTTATTACAACCAGGAGAAGGCACCTTATTGATTCCGCTCTGTTGCAGATCATTTCTAAGAAGAATCTTTTCTTTGATGTCCGAATGATAAAAAATATGTAGAGCAAAACGTTGGTCTGTGATTATTTTGTTTGACAATAAATTGAGCATAATTTTATCTAATTGGAGCCAGAATAAATTGCAAGAATAAAACAAAAAGCTCCCCGTTGAGCTGGTGCTATGAAAAATTTATTTTTTGCTTTGTTCCGTGCGGACTTTCATATTCTTTAAAAAAAAATGAACGGAACTGAATCAAGAAACCTCTGTCCCGGTTGTAACCTTCGAAATTTTATTACTTGTTCTTAGAATCTATCAATTCTATTCTTGTTATGAATTCTTATCATTGTAACGTATATTAATATTAAATGGAGAAAAATCGTGGAAGAAAAAATATTGTTATATACACTTATTTGTATATATATATAAATTGTACAAAAATATATATATAATATTTGGTATCAGCAAAAAAAAAAGATGATATCGGTGCATAGTTCTACATAAATAATGATAAGTTTTTTTTTAACCGCGAGTTTGGTTTTAACTTGAAAGCAATAATGTAAAGACAGAAAGAAAGAAAACACTAAGTGAACGACGTTCAATAATATTTGTATTGTTTTGTTTCATATTAGTGAGTGCGCAATTTGTATGGAACAACTTTTGCATTGTATCGAAACTCTAAATATTTTCGCTCTTTTAATTTTGGAATCAACGTGAATATTTAAGAGTGATTATTGTAATGCGATGGATGACATTTTGATGAGGATGATTAATAGTGCATTATTTCGGTGATATCGGACGAAGAAGCAAAGCTTTAATGCACCCACCGAGAACCCTAATTTCAGAAAAATAATTACTGCCATATAGGAGAATATGTGTTACTCTTTGTTTCGAAGACGAGTGACTTAAATCTGCACAAAATGAATCTTATTTTGGGAATCTAAAATTAAGCGAAAATATCTAGAAGTCCAGTGACCCGCTGCATCTTCAACCGTCTATTCGCGTGTCGTTTGTGGACGCCGTCGAATCTGATTGGGAGACTTTTTTGCATGCAATTTCGGTAGCGGCCGGGCCCTTGAAGATGTAGGCATATGAATAAATAAAAATAATGTATAGGCAACGATAGGCCTAATTGTTATGTAAATATATATATATATTGGAACAAAGTGCGTGAGAGTGTGAATTTTCCAAAAGCATTCGGCTCAATTTTACAAATGAATAAATAAACAAAAAAATACCATGTATATGAAACTGCGTTTCCAATCTTGAACCGAGATCTGTTTTAAGTCTCGATTGATCTATTGCAATATTATAAAAAAAGCTTTTTTCTTAAAATATATTATTATTACCTCAACACATACACCAATTTGTTTCTTTTAAACCTATTTTTTACAAAAAAAGTTCCTTAGGCCTTATATTAATATTTCAAATAAAGGAAACACAAACTTTTTATTCTACTCTAATTTTTGCATATACAGATATCACCCGACATACGAACTAGTTCCGTTCCAAAGGGTTTTCGTAAGTCGGGGGAATCTTAAAAAAAACAAAATACATATCTTATCACACTTTATAATGGTTTTTACTTTTATAAATGTTAAATTCAACGACAAAAGAAACAAATGCAGCAAAGCAAAGCAGAAATTATTAATTTTTGTTTGGATAGTTATTTTTTTATATCTATATATGTCCTTGTAACAAGTTAGAGCCTTTAGAATAATGTTCGTAAGTCCAGGAGTTCGTAAGTCGGGGATACCTGTAGTTTATATGATTTAGCATCTGAAAACAAGTATATAATTTACATAACAGTTCCTCCAATTTCTATATATACAGGTATATACTGTACGAAAATCTAAACATTTATTTCTATATACAAAATTCGAAAGATACACTAATTCATCTTCATACAAATTTAGAAGATATTACTTATATTTAAAAAATGATTTACATATTCTTTAAGTACTAAATATTGTCTTCACAAGTACGCTGTGAGCTTAGACACACATATAGAAACTGTTGCACCTTGTTATTCCTTGAAGTAACTGATTTAATATAATTAGAGTTTATGGAGGTAAGCAAAATTTAAAAAAAATTAACTAGTAAGTAACAAAATGGTAGAGGAATAGTAACTTGCTATATTATGCATTATTTTGAGTTAGTTTTTTTTATGTCGTGTAATTTGATTTACAATCTGTTCATCAATGTGAACATTGAGTAAATTTAAGATTAGGTAGGTAATCTTTTCCGGTGGATAGTTTACCATTATGATGCTTTTCTGAGTAAGTATAATTAAATTTTATTATAAGTGCATTGACATCAAATAAGATAACACAATTCCATTTTTGTTTTATTTTCTAAATATTTTATGAAACCTTGAAAAAATAAGAGTGGACAAAACAAACCGTTGTGTTTCAATTTTATAATGTACCGAAATCGATTGAATCTTCAAATTTGAAAAACTTACTCCATCTCTAACTTAACTGAGATATACTATACCATCTGTCGGCAAATTGATGAATCAAAAGAACCAAACCTATCTCAAAGAACAATTTAAAAATTATTCTAGAGCCTCAAATATATATTAGATACATTTAAGTTTTTCGACTCCTGTAATGTACCCGGTGCAAAATGGGCTATTATCTCGGAACATTGTAATAGGTACAAAATGACATTTTGCGAGATTGAAAGCATTATTTCTTAATCAATCGTCTAAAATTATGCTCTATTTTGTTCACAGCGAGGCATAATTTTTAAACAAAACTGCACAAGAAATTGAGTCTCATAATCTCTAGTTTTAAATAAAAACTAACAATTTCTGATTCTGGAATTAAGTATAAAAATCTAGTAAAAAACTACCATTTGCTGAAACTAAATATGAAGATGTTTATTTTACAACTATATTTGTAACGAAACAATTGAAAGAAGTTATTGATGATAATTTTCTGTTTGAAGAAATACGAAGAATAAATATGTTCTCAACATAGATAAAATTGTTAATGAGTCATGAAATGACTTTACCTCAATGCGTCAACAAATATAGTGTATCGCGCTGATCTATATCATTGCTTACCAATCTTTTTGCCATACTACCCAACATAATTGTTTTTAATTGTACAGCAACTTAATTATTAAGTTTTTCATAACTTCCTTCTTTTAACACAAGGCGACAGCTGTCATTTCACGGCCCGTTCAAAAAATTCAGTTGTGGTCCTCGAGAGTATTTGGTATTCCGTAGAGTAATTTGGATATATTTGCAATTTTTGTTTTTCTTATATTGTGATTCTACTTTTTTACAATTTTTCCCTTATTATATTGCATATTTATAAAAGACCTAAAGCAAAAACAGATATAAGAATCATTTCATATCATGGTAGTGGTTCGCTGGATTCAATATTTTGCGATTGGTGACCTCACGATCAAGAAGGTTGGCGACTGCTGCTCTGTAGTATATAAACAGTATAATCTTGAATAATATTATTATACAAAATGACAGAAATGTGTTGCAAACTATTAATATTTTCTGTCACTTAAACTAGTTCTACATGTATCATTATATTCCTACTGTTAAACAATGTTTCCCATATAAACTAATGTAAAATACGATAATGCGTTCCATGCCGGAAAAAAGTATAACTTGGTCTCGCTTTTTAATGATTTTGCTTATCATATCTATGTTATTTTTATTCTTTTGCTTTCTATTCGGAGACATGCAAGTGTTATAAAAATGTTACCTAACAAAAAACACAAATAATATGTCCGAACAGAAGTTTTGAAATATGTGTAATCACAAAGAACACTAAGATGCAACTAGAATGAACTGTTTTGCCATTCACACACGGTGAAGGGAGTTTATTCCATTTGTTTATGTTACTTATCGGTGACAATCGAAATCCCGGCAGTATCTTTTATTATTAAAATTTCTACAATAACATTTTTATAACTTGAACTTATCGTATAACCAAAAACAAAGAAAGAAACTAAGCGTAAACAATCGAATACATTTTTTAATACTCCGAATTTCGTGAAAACGCTTAATCATCATTATAAACAAAGCTCTACTCCTAAACACATCTCCAACCCCGTAATAATAATAATTTACTTCGTAAGTAGTCAATGATGAGCAGTGTCCCATCGCCGAGACACAACACGACACTTCGACTCATCAAGATTTGTAAAAATTGATATTTGTGAAATAATTCCGTCACAAAAAATAAGTGATAAAATTTGTGCACGTGGATATTTAATGGGGAAGGAGAGAAACCGGAAGAACATTTTTTATTGGTGCTGCGAGAAAATAAAAGCAACGATCTGCAAGGGCAGAGTGACCACAATGTGAATGGACAACATCACATTCGTAAATTTGTCGGTCACAATCATTCACCTCAAGCAAGTTCTGCTAAAGTTGCCCAAATTATTGGTCAAATAAAAAAAACAAGCAGTAGAAACAAGAGATCGACCATATCAAATTATACAAAATGTTCAAGCAGATCCAGATCACCAAAATAGGCAGGCAGAGGGGTCACCAGAACAACAATTTTTATTTCTAAATACGGGGTGGGAGTAGTGATTAGGAGTACAAGAACAACAAATAAATTATTTGATAGGTATTATTAATTTTTTAATCGATAACTGAAAATAATATATCGAAGTACATAAGATTTGATTTAAAATGTTGTATAATTTATATACAAACTGTTGATATTTTAACACAAATATGTTTAATAATTATGTGAAATAATTGCAGACTCTTTGAAGAAAAAAATCATTATAGTGATTGCTATCAGGAGATAGGAAGTGAAGTTGTTTAATGTTAAGGATTTACAAATAAGTACTTTTTTTTATTAAAATAAGTGAATAAAAATTGTTTTAGAAAATGTATGATTAATTTATTAATTTAAATATATACACATAAAGACAACATAATCATATGGATCCATTTTATTTTGATTGAATTAGTAGTAGGTAGACCATCATAACATAAATGAATTAAAAACAGGAACACGAGAGAATAATAAATTTCATTATAACAGAATGTAATCGGTTATAGTCTTGTAAGTTTTTTGTGGTTGTTGTTGTATTTTGGAATATTTACAAAGCTATAAAAATGGCTCGAATGTCATTGTAGAAGATTTAGTTTTAGAAAGAAAAAGAAAATAATAATAACAACATATAAAAAAAATACATTTAGTTTTCCCTCAAATGGATTCATCTTTAAACACAACCGAATTATTCTCAATATGAGACATCTTCTTTATTATTATTATAGGTAACCCATTCATCAATTCGCTTTTACACACACATACGAAGACATGTTTTGTAGGATTAGTCATTTCTTTTTAAGTCTGCTCACGATCCACTCCAACCCCTGGTACAGTCTACAAGAAAAAAAAAGGGGAAAGTTAATGATGAATTACGCACAAAATTGGATCAAATTTACCCTTCTCCGGTTAACGCACAGCAGGACTGAATATGCCACTGTTGCTGCTTGATAGACGTCAAATTTAATTCCCTGGATATCTCGGAGGCCGACATCGAACCTTTCAGATCCTGTTTATTGGCGTAGATCAACACTCCAGCCTTCGACAGTTCCTCGTTGGAAAGCATCTTGCACAGTTCCTCCCTTATCATACTCAATCGCTCTTTGTCCGTAGAATCTATCACCACGATGACAAACTGGAAAAGCAAATAAATTATAGTGTTATTAAAGGAAGCATATGCCACATAATGATCAAATAAACACCGTAATAACATCTGCGCTACGCACATATTTCTAAGTCTTCAGTTAAACGGCAAATAAATAAATGGAACGTGAGAAATGGACGCGAAAATGCTTTTGAATATATTTTAAAGACTGATTATAAAATCGATAATTCCCAATTATGTTTCCTATACTTTCAATTTAAATTCTTCGTTTCGTAATAGTGCAGAATTTACGTAAATACTCATATGCATTAAATGCACTTTCGAAATACATACATGATTTTGAGATACATAATTTAAAGGCATTTTTTAGTGAAAAATTATCAAATATAAAATATAATTTATTATTATACACAATAAAATAAAACTAAAACTTTTATATTGATAATAATAGATTTATCAACAATATTTTCCTCATCCCAATCTAATCACTCGATAATTGAGTATTTACGAACAGGATTAAAGCATAAATCAATATTATCACAACATACCCATTATTGTACACGGAAAATGGAAACCAGCCAAATTAAGGCGACCGAGTATATTCCATACTGCGATTACCGGTATGCAAATCTATGCAAATGCGGTGACCAGAAGTTAAAACGAGAAGAAGGAAAAAAACATCTCCGGCGATTGCATAATGACTGAAAGCAATGGAACTGAAAACTCGTGTTGGCGAGGCGAACACGAAATTAAGCCGTTCCACTTATGTAACTTTTCAAATGAGAACCTCGAGTGTGTTCCGTCAATTAGGCGTGAAATTTGAAAGAGGAAACAGTTTCAGTTCATTTAAGTTTCAATTCGAACTTTTGTTTTCTGCCCGACCGTTGAACAATCAACGCGATTTACAACTACTGTCCATAATCGGCCGCGTAATCTGATGATTGGTTCGTAGACGTAAATTGAAATAGTCAAATCTTTTGCTTTTTGACATAATATTTATGTGTACAATTATTTATAATATAAATAAACGTCATTTCTTAAGTAATTGAACAAACAGCCTGAACTATACTGCTCACAAAGACTTAATCTAAATATGTGCTAATTATCATGTACACGTGATATCAAAGTGTGCATATGTCAATTCAGTTAGTCTCAATCCTGGTGATGATTACGATGTCGCTTATGGTGTGGTGTACATTAACAATGAGTCTTCTAAATTCATTGTAATTAGTGATATTCTTTGTAAATGAATGTGCATGCCATGTACTCGTATACAGTTATCTATAAAGTTTCTGCATCACAATTATGATATTATATTTATATGTAACAATTATATTATAAAACTTTTAATTAGTTCTCAGTTACGTAATTTTCATTAAAAAAAATGTAAATTGTGAAACTTATATATTATTAACTAGTATTCCCTTATTATTTAAATTGGATCCAATTTGGAGAAAACCGACCGTGGTCTTTCTTCTCGAAATTCCCTTATTTACTTGATTCTTATATATTTATATCTATTAAGAATATTTTCATTTAAGGCTGTTTCTATTTTTGTGCAGGAATTTGTAAGGATAAATTTAATAGTAATATTTATGTATCTTATAACTTGATTTTTGTACACCCACATTTTCTGTATATGATTTACTTTGTATTATATGAAACGAGAATAAATTATAAATTTTTTCAAATATATTTATACATACATTCAAGCTTGGCCTTGTTACTTTTACTAAAAATACTTTGTTTTATAACACAATATTTTCAATTTTGTATTAGAAAAGCTATTTAGAAATATTAAAAATTAAATAATAAAAATAATATCAGAAACCAATTTTTATATATATATTATTTATATATATATTATTTATGTATACAATAAATTATCCAAAATTCCTAAATTTGTAATTCCCGAATTTATGTTTATGAAAATAATAAGTTCCAAATTTACGAAGGACGGATATAAATGAAGAAATTAGTAATTTCCAATAATGATTATGCATTATACATTAAGGTGAGCTAAACAACTCATGAAACAAAGAAGGAATAATTTGGAATTTCCGCTTACAATACTTCGCTTTGGGAATTAATATCTATAATTACGTTAATTTGTTTTTCATCTCTAATTATATCAATTTAAAGTGTAAACATCAGTTAATCAATATTATATTTTTACTTCTCATGTAAAATAATGCTACAATATAGAAAAACGTTAGTCGTTAGTTAATA